GCAGAGAAAACCAATAAGGTCACAATTTGGATTTTGTGAAAATCAATAAAATCAATTATTTCAATTTTTAAAAGAAACATCATGTAGGAAAAGAAGTGATCAATAGCTGTACAAAATATACATAATTATTTGGAAAAAAATTCTTTTTTTATATTCCAAAGCAGAATTAATTTTTCCTTCATTTCCTCCAGCAAGTAAGGTAAGTGTCTTAGCTTTCCTCATTCTTCCTGTTTTCCAAACGCTTCTTCAAAATAGCTTTCACAGTAAACTTAAGAGTAACCACACAAGGAGAAGGGAGCAAAAGTGGAAAGTTAATATATTTGTTTTCAAACAGTACAGAGTCCTAGTCAGATCTTTTGCACCAACCATAGAGGCTTAGAAACTCATTCTTTTCCAGTTTGTTTTCATCTCTAATTCTACATTTGTATTACAGTGAGTGATGAGGGTATCGGTTGAAGGAGACTTTCCATGTACGCAGATCCCGGTAATCCAGCCCCAACCATGTGTTGGTTGGGTCTGTGCAGTGTGGGCCTTCGATGGTAACGTTTTAAAAAAAGAAAAAAAAAATTGAATTGTGTGTTAACATTATACACGTGGGCAACTCTCAAAATATATGTGTTCTTTACTGTGGAAATATTGACTTGCAGTTTTTTTGTTTGTGGGTCTGGATTCCTGAGATACTGTTCCACTTGTTTTTGATCTGAGGAGTGTTATCCGTAGATTATAGTACCAACTTTTTCAACTGTACCCACTTCTTCCAGAAATTGTTAATCAAATCAGCCAGGGTCAAATGAATTATTTTATAGATAATGTTTGAGGATACAAATTTTCTGAAAAGGTTTTTATTTTTCTTTCATTTTTGAAGGCTATTTTGAACTCATATAAAATTCTAGGTTAAATTTTTTTCTTTTCAGTCTTTTAAAGATATCATGCCATTTTCTTCTAAGGAAATTAGCTATGTTTCTTATTACTATTTCCCCATATGTAATATTTCTTTTTTCTTCTGGCTACTTTTAAGATTTTCTTCTTATCTTTGTTTTTCATCAATTAAATATGATGTGCCTAAATCTGGGTTTCTTTTTATTTATTCTGATTCAAATATCTTAAGATTCTTGGATTTGTGAGTTGGATATATATATATATATATTTTTTTTTGCTATTGTTGGCTTATTTTTTGTCAAATGTACAAAATTTTTGACTATAGTTTTTCTATTTTTTTTCTGCCTAATTTTTTTCCCTGGGACTTTTGTTACATAGTTTTTAGATTGCTTGATGTTTTTCAACAAGTTTCCAAATCCTTACTCTGTCTTTTCTGTCAATCTTTATTTCTCTGTGTAGCTTAGATTGGATAATATTTTTATAAAAAATCCACCTTCAAATTCACTTATCCTTACTTCTGTTTTGTCAAATATTCTTTTAATCATATTTTTACTTTAAATCTTTGACTTTCTGTTTGAAGATACCCACTAGTTTTTTTATTATTTTTATTTCCACATCTCTTAAAATTCCCCATATGATTATCAATTATATCCATCTTTTTCTTAAATTATTCACATATTCATCATAGTCATTTTAAAGTCCATGCCAACTAATTCTAATATTTGTATTAAATGTGAATTTTTTTCTATTGATTGTTCTTCTTTTGCTTGGGCTAATATTTATATGCTCTTTGAAATTTTTTGTTTTATTGCATTACAGATATGGTGTATAAAAGAACCATGGATTATGGAGTAGAAATATTTATATTTATATACACATATGATTGTATTTGTATACACGCATGATTATATGATTGATACACACGTACACACGAAAATATATGTATGCAAATATTTTGATTTATTGTTTTCCATAGAATGTAAATCCTTTCTTTTGCATGTTAAAAAGGTACAAGGCTGGGGCTGGCCCAGTGGCATAGCGGTTAAATGTACGCGCTGTGCTGCAGGCGGCCCAGTGCAGATCCCGGGCGCACAGTGATGCACTGCTTGTCAAGCCATGCTGTGGCGGCGTCCCATATAAAGTGGAGGAAGATGGGCATGGATGTTAACCCAGGGCCAATCTTCCTCACCAAAAAAAAGAGGAGGATTGGCTACAGATGTTAGCTCAGGACTAATCTTCCTCACACACACACATACGAAAGGTACAGGGCTTATCTGTAAAATCCTCAAAGAATTGAGTTAAGCAGGCACTGACTCCAACTTTAATCAGCTTGACTGCACCTCCAGTTTGGCTATACTCCGACCAGATATGCTATCATTTTCTGATCTGAGCTCATTATTATATTCTATATGTCAGCTGGGAGGGAGATTGGTCCGTAGTTTCAGACATTTTTAGTTTGCCTTTGGATTCATTTGAGTTTTGTTCCTTTTAGTATTGTATTTTATAGTTTTAACATTTTCATGTTCATTTTTATATATTCTAGTACTCTATTAAAATTCTTAAACTTGTCTTTAATTTCTTAAGAATAATTACCACAATTATTTTTCTGTACATTTCTAATATAGCCATTATCTGGATCTGCTGTAGGTTTGTTAGTACTCTGTGTTGTCTCTTGGTTTGGTCTTTTCTTGCCTTTTTGTAACACTGGTAATTTTTAATCAATCACTATAGAAAATTTGAGGCTCTGAAAGTGTCTATTTGCAGAAGAATTTACTTTGGATGTAGCAACCTGGGGTAAGACTACAAGTACTCTCACATCATCAAGATTGATGCAATTCAAAGTTTGGTTTCAGTTCCTATGAAACATAATCTATGTATACTTACCTTTAAAATTCTAGAAGAATCTTTAAAAGCCTAGAATGTTTCAAAAACCTAGTCTTCAAAAGCCTAGAATATTTTCCTGTATTCCCAGCTTCATAGAAGTCCCTGGAATCTGATTCTGCTCATTCACACCATGAACCCATTAGCAATTTTAGAATAAGTAGACAACTCTAGGAAGAAAGCAGCCTAATTATGAATACTTCTTTTGACTTCAAACTTCTCCTAATTTTGATCTGGCAGTTCTTAACCTGATAGTGCTCCAGTGTTCATACACAGATTATTTTATCCAGTTTTACTAGGGTTCTTATTGATAGGGATGATTTGAACTACCCAGTCTGCTACTGCCAGAAGTCACATTTGGTAAATAATTTCACATTAAATTTCTCTATATAAGGGTGGCTGGTAAAAGTGTTTATTTTGTGATATGTGCAAAATTATTTAGAATACGCAAGAAAGCTGTGGTGAAGATTATCACTAGAAATCTGTCCAGTAAAGTTAATAGGTAGATATGAAACCCACGACTATGGTCATTCAAAACTCAGACTTTAAAATGATGGAGTAATATGCAACCATTACAAATGCCTAGCCCCATTTACCAAACATACTCTCCATTCATTGTAAATTAACCATCCAAACATTGGCTAAACATACCAGATAACTTTATGCTCCTGCTTTGTTCATTCTACTTTATCTTCCCCATCATTTTATCTTCCAAAACTTCCTCTATTCCATTCTATACTACATTCTATACTACTCCTGTTTCTTTCACAAAATTGTGAATATTGATTTCTCTGTAGGACTGGAATCTTTGGCCAGACCTTGACTCAGTGATTTTCCATTGTCTCATGTTTAAAAGAAATGTACAGAAGCTGACCCTGTGGTGTAGTGGTTAAGTTTGGTGCATTCCACTTTGGCGGCCTAGGTTTGCCAGTTCAGTTCCTGGGCACGGACCTACACCACTTGTCAGCCACACTGTGGTGACGACCCACATGTAAAAAGTAGAGGAAGATTGGCACAGATGTTAGCTCAGGGCTAATCTTCCTTGGCAAAAAAAAAAAAAAAAATGTACATAATGTAGCACATATAATTTATTTTCCTCTGATTGCTGTTTAAAATTCTAAAGAAATAATGACTTGAAAATCTCTTTGAATATTTATTTAGCTCAACATAAAGATAATGTCTTTTTATTACGAAATTTGTCTCCCTATCAAACTGTGTCTGACATAGCAATGCATGGTTTTCTGGACTATGTGGCCTATAAAATAGTAGCATGTAACTATAAAAAATAAAAATAGAAGATCTCCATTTTTTTGCTAATATAAAGGCTTGCAATTCTCAGCCATATGTAGTTTGAGCCATTGGAAAGCAGAAAGGTAAAAACCCAAACATCTTGAACCAAAAGTCTTTACACCAAGAGTAATTGGCTTCCACTCTACATGCGGTAAAGAAATGAATTCCATGGGACAGTATCCACTGGGATTCAGGGATTTGGTCACTTTTACCCACTAACATCAGACGAACTTAAGGAAAGTTATTCAAACATTATATTTAGTATTTTTGGCAAATGCACAGGCACAAGTTATATTTATATTTAATTTTTGTTTCACGTACAAACCTAGCAGTGTAACTAAATTTTATTCTTTCTCTCTGCATTCCGTATGTATCCACCATCTTTCATGCTTTTCTCCTGTGAAGAGAGATACAAGGACTCACATAATTTAAAGGATTAGGCTTTCATAGCTCTTGATTTTTATTTATACAAAGTTTATATAAAAAGGCAAAAAAAAAAGATCTAAAGACCAAAAATTTTACTTCAAATCCCCCAACCTCTAGGATTCCAAAGCTTGCTTTATGAAGCAAATTAATCTTTTACATATATAAACGCAATAAATAGTAAAAGAAATTCCTGTTCAATACATAAGTGACAAATAATAATAACAACAACAACATATATGGACGCCAAAATGAATGTGTTTATTTAATTAAGATAATTAGATTTTCTTAATTTTTGAAGGATATCTAATAATTGGATAGATTCCATCACCAATGCAGCTATATGATTTAAAATTTAGCTTTGTTACCTAGTTTTACATTCTGCAAGAACTAATTTGTAAGTTAGGCTGGGTGACCAAAGAGTGGGTGAGCAATTAGTCTTTGGAGACCATGAAGAGAGTTGTTGCTTGTGAGAATAAAATAGTTGACATTCCGCAAAAAGATCTGGACACTCAACAAGTTAATCTCTAGAAGCCTGATCCACAGATTGGCCGGTAGCAAAATGGCTGGAGATTCTGAAAACCAAAATAGATTGGACGGCAGAATCTGGATCCAGAGCTCAAGGTAGGGAAGCCACAGACTCCATAACGCAGTGATCTGAAGCCACTGGATCCATAGCCCAGTGAACAGGAACTTCTAGAGCCATAGCCTAGACAGCCGAGAGACCCAGTATAAGCTGACTGGCAAGGTCTCCAGAGTGTGTAGGTCCTTGGGCGGTAGCAGGATGTCTGGCAGGGGCTGGACACCACACAGGACGTCTGGTATCTGGTGGGCTCCCAGTAGGTCTTCCGACAGCCACCATAGAGAGAGGAACCCAGCTGGCAGGTGCTAGGAGAGTAGAGAGCAGTGCTGTAGACCAGGTTGCTGGGGTAGGAAGAGCCACAGGAGGAGCGTGGGTAGCGCAGATAGCCCCCAAGGGAGCAAGAGGAGAAATTTCCAGAGCAGCAGTTGTAGGACATGTTGACAGAAAATGTGAGTTCAGCTGAGTTACACGGAGAAGATTCTGAAGTTGATTTCTACCTCCAGGTCTGTGGCATTTATATACTCGCAGCAGTAGGTGTTGAAAGCTACAAGGGCATCATTCCTACATTTGTACTCCCTCATTTGCATAGCATTAACTCAATCACCATTTCTGTAATTGCAGGTGCATAGTTTCCTACATATTGTATTTATGGGTGCTATAATATTTTTTGTTATAACAGGAAGCCAATAAACTACTCTTATGTCAGAAATTCTATGACCGTTTTGCGTTAATGACCATCTCATCATCGTCAGGAATGTCCTTCTTTTTCTTCCTGGTATATGCTGCATGTGTATCTGATTCTAGACTTGCCTGGGTATACACTCTTTCTAGGGGTGGAGATTGAAATGACATCATCTTTCTTTTTTTTCTTCTGTTTGACCAGAGGCATAGCTTTGACCTTGACAAAAAGCCTTCTAAAGATTGAACCTACTTATGATCATTCATCCTTATTCTCCGAAATTATTTTCCAAGTACTAAATATTAATGCAGAGTGTCTCATATCCAATGGAGAAAGCCCAACGAAGTTACAAATTGAATGCAGGAAGGCTAAGAACAGAGGACAAGTATTTGGAAGGAAGATACAAGAACAATAAATTGGAACAGAGTTAGAAATGAAGACCAATCTGAGCCCATGAGAAGAGAATCAAAGAGCATGACTCTATTGAGATGAGTGGAAGAAATAAATGATGGAAGGCAGAGTGAGACATTCAGATTTCTCCTCTACTTTATTTTAAACTTATGATTCATTGAATTTAAATGCTATTAAAATCAAAACAGTTCCAAATGGATAAAATTTATAAATGTTAAATGGATTTTGCCTTTTTGCCATCCATATTTACAATACATCCACTACATCTCTAGAATAGTCCCAGTCAGGCATTGCAGCCCCGTCAAGTCCAATGTAAGAAGGTTGTTTCTTTAAGGTTATTTCTCCAGTGCAGGATACCTGAATATCTACTTCTAATGAGCTCTTTAAAGTAAACACTAGAGGACTTTCTTCAGGTACAAAGAAAATATTCTCAGAGAGAAGCATGGACATGCCAGAAGAAATGAAAAGTAAATATGTGGGTAAACATAAATTACATTTGGATGCAAATTTTACAAAACAATAATTAAAATAATTTTTGGTTTAAAAATATATAGAGAATTAAAATGCATAAGAATAACTATGCCTAAAAAGAGAGCAATTGGATTTAAAGTGTTCTAAGGTTTTAGCATTACTAGGGAAATTGTAAAATAATAATTTAAATTAAACAGAGATAAATCAAGAATGTACATTGAAATTTCTAAAATCAGTAAAACAATGAAAATATTACATTAAAATGGGAGAAAATGAGAATATTAAAGTTTTTACGAATCCTAAAAAAAAAAACAAAAAGGGAAAGGAAAGTTATTTAAAATATAGATCAAATAATAATCAAATTGTAAGTTAGTAGATATAAACATATATACACATGTACACACGTACATATATGTATGTGTATATGTATACATATACACGAAACATAAAAGCACTAAAGAGTCCAATACAAAGACTTAGAATGTCAGAATGAGTTAAAAAAAGTAGAATCACAATATCCTGCTTTGAAAAATAAACAATCAAAATAAAACAACATAGAAATATTGAAATAAATGAGATATATCATCTAAAACAACTCAGAAAGAAGCTAGCTTTATTAATATCAGTCATAGAAGATTTACTAGTGATAAAGATGTTCATAATTTTTAGAATGATGTGAGTCTTCCATAAATGTCACACTCACAATGCTTAAAAATGTAAAAGAAGAAGCTAAATATTAGTTATGATATAGAACACTTCACCAACATATTTAAGAAAATTGATCAAATCCACGTATTGGACACATTGCACTCAATGAGTTCAGCAAACATAATCATTTGAAGTACACATGGAATTTAACTGAAAATACTCTACATCATAAAGCCAGCCTAAACAAATTCATGTGATCATAATAATTCATAGCATATTCTTTAACCATAGAGGATATGTTATAAGCCAGCGAAAAATGATAACTAGAAAATCTCCAAACGTTGTCAATTTGGAAATACACACGTAAATAACCTGTCTTAGTCTGTTCGAGCTTCTAAAACAGAATATCATAGAATGGGTGGCTATAAACAACAAACATTTATTTCTTACAGTTCTGGAGGCTAGGAAGTCCAAGATCAAGATGCCAGTACGTTAAGTGTCTAATGAGACTCGCTTCCTCCATGGCCATCTTTTCACTGTAACCTCATAAGTTTAGAAGGAACAAGAGAGTTCTCTGCGGTCTTTTCTCCTAGAGGCACTGATCTCATTCATGAGAGTTCCTCCCTTAAGATCTAACCACCTTCCAAAGGCCCCACCTCCTAAGACCGTCACACTGGGGATAAGGAGTCAACTCATGAATTTTGGGGGCACACAAACATTCAGATCATAGCATAACCCATGATTCAGAGAAAAAAAATCTACATGGACAATAGGAAATTCTTTGATCTGAATGTTATTGAAGTTAAAACACCAAAACTTACAGATTTCAGCCAATTCAGTGATTTGAGAGAATTTTATATACTAGAAAAGAAGAAAGACTGAAGATCAAGAAGTTAGACTAAAGAACAGCAAATCAAGACAAAAGAAAGTAAAAACAACAGAACAAATTAAAGATAGAAATCAATATAAGAGCAGAAAACTTTTTGTGTAGAATATAACAAAGCCCAAAGTTGGCTCTTTAAAATATTAATAAAAGTAACGTTCAAATTAAAAAAAGAAACATGATGTAGGACTCCTACAAGAACAATCGAAGTGAGGAAATAACTCTTCCAAATGTAAATAACTCTTTTGCAAATCTTTTATTTACTGATATCCCAAATCAGAGTTTGAATCTTATTCCTTCCTGTCCGTGAAGCAGGGAAAATGGTCCCCTCGATATGATGTGATACATCTACCTTCCCCATTTTCTTTCCTTTGACAAACACTTCTTCAAGTAGCCCTGATAGAATGACTTGGAAGAGTTGCTGAATGCAGAGCAGGTCCCTTCTCAAGCAAAACCTTTAAATTAGTGTATTTTCCTCAGAAACTTTTCCTTCTGTGGAAGGATCTTTTTCTGTACTAATCCACAAGCCCAGCAGTTTCCTCCTCTTACTCCTGCTCTAGTCATTCTTTCATAGTAAATTGTAAATAACAAATATAATTTTAATGAAACTTTACCGACTCGCAGACTATGTAACAAATGCAGCCCAGGTATTATACTGGTACAATGTATATAACCATAGGTAATTTTTTTTTTCTAAAACAGAATTATTTATTCACATTTAAAAATATTGGGAGATTTTATATCAAGATGTCGGCTCCGAGCTGTGGAACTAATGGCTTCCAAACATGTATTTGTGAATTGCCTTCTCTGTTTTCTATCTAATTTTTTTTCAAATCTGTTGTGTATGGAACCAAGAGATTTCCATTACACCTTTTAGATCCTACTTCTGCCACCCACCTAATTATTTAAGGGAGTTGTCATTCAGCTTGTTACTAATCATCCAGAGGATTCACCTTTGATTAATCATCTTAACGAGGAGCCAGGCACTCAAAAGCCATGACTTGGAATATTACGATTGATGCCATCAGATGATGTCTTGTCTATTTGTTATCTACAACATATTCTATTATATTCACCCAGTGTCGACTAGGAGTCATTTATATCCTAGAAAATGGCAAATATGTCCGTGGGGAGGGATACCATGACCAAGAAAGAGTAAGATTTTTAGAAACAGAGGAAGAATGCAGCTCCTATCTTAATGTCAGACTTTTTCCTATTGATAGGTAAAGACATGTTCTTCCTCACTAACTGGCAACTTTTAGGATAAAAATCTAGTATCAGTCTTCTGGTGAGACATTATCTCAACTTTTTGTTGTCTGAAATTATCTTCGATTTTGAAGCACATGTAGACTGAGCATAGTATTCTAGTATGACATCAGTGCTCTTTCAGAATTTTGAATATTTCATTCAATTATCTTTGTCAATAATTCATATTTCAGTCCTATCGTCACTTTTTTTTTTTAAAGGCAATCAGCTTTCCTCCTCAGGCTACTTAGAAATGTTTCTTTTTATCATTGGTGTTCATCAGATTTACTATTCGTGTACGTGTGTTATTCTCTGTATTTATCCAACTTTTAATTTGCAGCACTTATTGCCTTTGTTTTGTAAAATACTTAGCATTTTCTCCCTGAATATATTTTCTCCACCGTTCTCTCTTTTATCTGTTTTTAAGACTCTAAATTAAAGTACGTTAAATCTTTTCACTATGGTCCATTTTCTCTTAAACTCTCTTCTCTATTTTTCTTTTTTTTTATTTTTTATTTTTTAATTTTTTGTTTATTGCAGTAACATTGGTTTATAACATTGTAAAAATTTCAGGTGTACATCATTGTACTTCTATTTCTGCATAGATTA